ATAAATGTGACTAGTGGGTCGCGTAAGCTAGCCACCGGAAACCGTTCTCAGCTTCCGGTCCTTGCGCCTTCAAGAATATCTAGCCCCTGGTTTCTGGAAAGTTATACTTTTACGTGGGCGCCATTTGTAACCCTCTTAGCCCGAATGACTGGGTAAGAACAACTTCAATGACTTTTTAAGGTCTCTTGCATGTATTCTCTCCAAAGAAACCAGGGACCTGGGAAGGATATACACTGTCCGTCCTGCTCGGCAGCATAGTGTAAAGTGTATCAGGGTGGTGACGTGCGCGTACATATAGGACACACGGGGTGGCGTGAGTATGTAAATACTCGTGCAGATCACTCTCTCACAACACTCCACGTTCAGGTTATGACACGAGTACGGGATAGATAACACGTGGACACTGTGTGACTTAGTGCAATGAGTACACCCTGTTACACTTGTATGTACGAAACTGAAAATAAAGCGATACGGTTTCTTTACTATATCGCACGGCTTTGTTCGCCTAGACTTAAGCTCTCTGAAAGCCTTAATAAAAATGTAATAGCATGTCTTCTCGATATTTTTTGTCCCGATGCACAGCGCCGTCTCATTGTTGTAACCATTCGGTCTCTACAGCTATGCCTTGGTCGTCTTAAGACCATTCGTACACGATTCGTTTGCAACGTGTGTTTCGATTGGACACATGTTATGTTCTAATATATGATAGAACCATGGTTCAAACTTATTAAACCCCGCTACCTGCAATTATGCCATGCCCCGGTTCTAGCCTACACAACATGACAGTGCTAGCATGTTGCATAATGACCTTATAGTTTTATTGACAAAGTTGAATAATGAAGTTGAATAATGAGATTATTGTATTAATGAAATAGACAAAGAGTGTCGAAACATTAACTTGCCATGCTTACTGACAGGAATGTTATTACTATTATAATATTGAGTTCTATGAACTATGTATATATTCTCATCAAATATTTCGGGTTTTTTTTTCTCTCACAGGAAACTACCCGAGACCTCTAGACTACTTTTACAAACGAAACCTGAATATGTGTTACAGTTTGGAGTCAGATGAGGTCAAAAACGTCACTGATGCAATCCTGTTTTGTTCTGGTTGCGGTCCCATGCTCATGATCAATACAGCTGAAAAGGCTATTTTGTTATACTAACGCCGTGTTTAAAATACAGTATCTATGTGGCCACGTTTGAATTGTTTTCAAATGCAGATGTGTATTAATACGCCAATGTTCTGTAACGTCTTTCTTTAATAATTCATCAATAGTACTGTATGTCTTAACATAACTTCTAATGAAATTCCTTCACATAGTTTCGAAAAGAAGAATTCGAAAATGCTAGCATTTATGTCAGTTAGACATTAGCCCGCTGCTATTCTGATTGTGTGTCGAATTATTATTTTTGTGTAAATTTGTATTAACAGTGGAATTGCTTGCAGATTATGATGATTTTGAAAACTATTTTTATGAACTCTTTCACTTGTTTCTGCACCACTCAAGGAATTCAAATAAACACAAAAATGAATATTCATGAAGTTTAACAGTTTTTAATTGTACTGATTTCATGTTTTTTTATTTTGCAGATTCCCATTCTTTAAACTCGGTGTTTATAGGAGGTTTGTCTGAACATCGGGATGATTTGTTCTTGTATGAGGATGGAAGCCCCATGAATCTATTCTTCTGGATGTCTGGAAACCCAAGAAAGTTCCGTTCAATCAGATTGAGAAAGAATACCTTTGAGTGGATAAATTCCAATGGTGTAGACGCAAGACCATTTCTTTGTGAAATAACTTTTTAAACATACATATGACGATATATCACATAATAGCATACACTATTAAATGTTTAACACGAAGATATGCCTTTGAGAAACGCCGCGTAACTTCTTATATCCCGTGGCTATTCTTTCCGATAGACAGAGAAATGCATATTTTGTGAATATTTGTAATATATTCTATATTTGTTTGTGTGTGTCTGTAGTATATACACGGGATCTATGTTACAGGAACTGCTAGTATGCTTCGTTGTCATAAGGTTTACAGCACTTAGGTCAGTTTCTCCTGCCTAATTTGTTCCGCCCGGATTTCAGGCGGAAACTGCATCAAAGAAAAAGTGGTTCGGAAATAAATGTAGCAGTAAGTCATATTTATATCGGATAAACAGACTAGCCGAACAGTGGTCTCTTATGTTATATGTTATGCGAAGTGTCATACAATCAATATAAAACGCTGAGCACTTTGAAAGGACGTTTGAAATGATCAATGGTCGAACTAAGACATTTGGTACTAATTCACTGAGTATATCATTACACCAGAACGCATTGATGTCCTTTAACAATGGAGACGTTATAGAGCGCAGCTGTTTTTCACACTTGTACAATTGTCCTTGTTTTGTGTCCGTCAACTGTGATGGTATCATATAGCTGCGGTTTGTGAGATGACCATATTTTAAGACGATATATCCATTGAGTTTTTAGCAGGAAAAATATTATTTTATTACTAGATGCATTACTGTTATATTTGTTTTTCATTTGGAAAATCAAACATACTGTAATTAAGGTGGCCGCATTGTTACGCCTGTAGTATATGTTGAGACATCCTCACAATCGCAAGACATTTAATAGGAAAACAAAAAACACAAAATATGTAATGATTTTCAAGCTTATAACTTCAAAATTACCAAAACTCTACCTTACGCCATTCATAATATTCCAGAGACTGTTGATTTAACAATGTTTATCCTTAAAACCTTATTTACCTTTCGGAACATATTTTACTGAATTTATTGACCAGCTGGTCAACTGACCTCTGCTACGTAGTCACACCTAAGCTGTAAAGTACAATTAGTTTAAGGTAAGCAGCACTATGAAAACTAAAAGATCTATGAATTATTTCACCTGTAAATTATCGTATGACTATTGTCTAAGTGGAAAATTACCTACCTAAATCTGCATTTAGTTTGTGATAATAAATAAACATCCAATGGTAATACAATTCAATTTATTACCAAATGCACATTGCATATAGGCGTATAGATAAATACTTTACCAATATATTGTACAATGGCGGAGAACATATGCAATAGATTCAATTCCATACATGATAATTACAAATTATGAAATCGTCATAAGTTTGGGAAAACTTGAAGGATTGTTTAAGGTCTAAACATCATCGTCATAATTTGGAATTCTTAGGCATAATAATTCATTATCAAAAAGTTATTGTTGTAACAACGGAATTTAAAAACTGGAAATTGTAAACCCAAGTTTACCTACCGGAATGTCACAGATTTAGATTAACGTATAATTCTGTTGTCGTTAACAATTCATTTCATACTTGCATTTTAATTGGAAAAGAGTACCATTAACTTTTATAAGAAAAAAAATATGCAGTATTATAAGAAATTCAGATTTCGAATTGTGTAATCAATATTAATGTTGTCAAAATTAACTTAATTCTATAATATTCTATTTTGTCTTCTGAGTCACAAACTACTTTATCAATATATGTAAACTACTGAACTCGTCTTCATAAGCTTATTCCCTATATGGTTCCTTTATATTTATATCCCAATAATACCTTAATCGTTTTCAATGTTTTTGTCAATATTACATTAGCCATCTATTCTGACAATTCAGATGGAATGATAAAGCGGCCACGTTGTCAAAACCAGTGTCTTTATTATTTTTAAGACTAACGACAAATTCGATGAAACACACATACAATTCAGACGTACGTGTATTCTGCTGCTCTATTAGGAATTGACAATAGGTCACCTATTTAAATAACTTATAATATTTAAGATGTTAATACGAATAAATAAATTTCATTTAATTTGCAGCTTGATTTACATTTCTATCACTATTTACAAAAAGGACAGTGGACATTAAAATAATAATTATAAAAAGTCGCGTTCTCTGTCAAATATTTACATACGCATGCATGAAATGAAAACAAAAATATTGTAAAACAGATTCGTGTCAATATTAGTATGGTCATTTATCCTCAAGTTTCTATGTGTGAGATTGCATATCTCGGTTATAAGAGAGTACTAATGTATAGCGGTTAAAATGTAGATATTTTAAAGCCAGAACATAATAGCGGTGGCAAAAGTTTTAAATAAATAGTATTCAGTGTGCAGTGCAAGGCGCTTCAAAACAAACATTTTTACCGCTTGGCAATGCATGTGGAGCTTGAGAGCTTTGTACACATTGTTTCCGTGTAACTTCAAGCGTCAAACGTGACTGAAATATAGAGATATCACTATTGTAAAGCGGTGTATTTGGACAGAGATCGTACACAGGTAAATATACTTTATAACGTGAACGTGGTTAAAGTGTAGGGGTGAGGTATAACCAATCAGTTTGCTCGATTTTCTTACAGGGTTCATATTTAAATATTGTGGTCTATTTTTTGTTTTCAAATTTCTGTTTCACATGCACTGACTGTTGTCGAGCTCATTGCATCAATAACTTGACTAGGTAAATCGTGTGTAGTGTAGAAGGCATTCACACAGGTATTTATGTGAGAAGGTGTACATGTAATGATGTCAGTGACAAATTGCTCGTATTAATTTGTATACATACTTCAGTTTACAATTAACGGTGTTTGGATGTATTTGTAGCAAGCAGCGGAATAATCAGTTACAAGTAATGTATTTGGTGTGCGAAATAGTTTGCTCCGGTTTGAATATCATAGATTTTAGTCTTAATACGAATATAGCCAAAATAAAGCCCTGAAAATTATAAGCGATATATTGTAAGTTCCAATTCTTTATCAACCTGAGAAATGAAATGCTTTAAATATTTTACAAAATGATTACACTGACTTTTGTTTGCTGGCAAATCGATAGTAATTCAATAAACGACATTATAAAACGGTCATACTGACAGTATCATGTAAGGTTATCTTTAAAAAATAAACCGGATACCAAATATATTTTACAAGCCAAAACTAAATTAACATGTTTATGTAGTAACAAATTAAATTATTCTCGTTTGAGATCATTATCATAATAAAATGTACATCTCACAGAACACTTTCAACACCAAAAAAGTCTTCTTTTCAACAACTATAAGGGTTTATTGCTCAACACTATGCTGTTGCCAACCTTCGATACATCATTTTTGTACTTTTCAGTGAATAGTTATATCCTTTCCAGCTAAACCATACTATTCCTTTGCCATATATAGAAGTAATGCCTAGGTAGAGCCCGTTAAGATTGGTGTCATGACAATAGTTGTACCACCAGGCACCGTGATATCGAACAGCACAGTTGATTGAATTTCCATTATTTTGATCTTTTGTGGTGAATGGACGGCCGTTATGACGTTTCATGGAATCGCCTGAAAAAAAGGTTATTTTATATTCAGTACAAAAAAATAGAGAGAGCAAACGATATTTATTTAAAATGTATATTGGATCAATGGATAGTTTAATAAAATCCCCGACACTTGCAGTAAGCAGATAATTTGCGTGTTTGAATATTTTTATTCTATACATACACTTCGTCTACAATCGGATACATAGTGAAGACAACTAAGCCAGGTTGCTGGTTTAATACTAATGGGATGTAACATCTCGATCATAATAATATTTATAGTTCGACGTTCTTATATACCGCTTTATCACTACCTAGTTCGAAGGTCGTCTCAAAGCTGTTCACAAATTATCATCCGTGGTAATAGGGCCTTTGCAACCAGCCAATATCTTTCTCAACACCTTGGGAGCATACAGCCGGTGCTGGCATTTCGGCGCTAACAGCTAGCATTCTCTAACTCTAGCACTGCCCAACCACGTACTCATTTACAGCTGAGTAGACTGGAAGAAGCGGAGTAAAGTGTATTGCTCAAAGATACAACACAGTGCCGTGCCATGATTCGAACCGGCAAACCCATCGGTCACGAGCCCGGCGTCATACCACAAGACCACCGTGTCTCCAGCATTTCATACTGTCTACAATTCAGGCCTGTTCACATTACCACTACACCTGTAAGCTCATGTGGTGAATGTACCATGTGACTGAATGTTTTCCATCCTTCTAACTCTTTCTCATGCTTTCATTTGTCACAGTTCTTGCAAAGTTTAGTTTGTTTATTCATTCATTATCAAGCTATATAGTGATGTGTTCGTAATGAAATGTGACGTACGGCTTTTCCCTTTAGAATATTTCACCTCTAAAACATGTTGCACAGGTACCGAACTTTTGCCTGATTAAATAGTAAATATCAGTCGAAACTATTATTCTTTCAAAGCAAAAACATGAAGAGTAAACAATTTAAACAAATGTTACAAAGTATATAGAACATGTATCATATCTCATTGTCGAATTTCCAAAGTTGTATTATTTCAAATGGTGATTTTGCTAGACATTTTTGTTAGATCTTAAACAGGTAGCTACGTTGATTTTTAGTACAAAAAAGAGAAGATGGAAGATCTTGTTGATAATCCCTCAAACAACGAGTCTTTAGAAATAGTGCTTGTATTCTTTCGAATTTTGCGACCGACATCTTGAGAAGGGAATAATCCAAAAGGCTTAAATTTCAAATACTCAAAGCACTTTGCAAACACAGTGTATCCCTATGTGATATAAGTATGTTTTGTTCGAATATAATATATATCTGAGTCAGCTAAACAACAGAAAATTTACGTATGCATATTTAAATTAATATTTTATAGGTTTAATCCGTGAACGACTTATCTACGATGCAAACGTAGATATGTCAGACTAATTTGGTTACCTGTATTTCCTGAAAACCCCGAAATGTCCAGTCGGTACTTATTTGCGGCGTCCCCAATGTCAAAATGGTTGTATTTGGCATAGGCAGTGTTGTTTTCGAAATCCTCCATGTCAACTCTCAGTTCATTTTCACCTCCTAACAGGAGGGCGTGCAGATGTTCATTTCCTTGCAAGGAGAGTATACAGATATAGTCACTGCTCGGAAATAGCATAAGTAGTGAGTTCAAAATTCATTTTAAGATCTTATATTATACGTTATCAAAATAAAATAAAAAATGTATACATTTCTGTATATCCCAGCAACAGAGGCACTGATTGATATTGGTTTATAATACAATTGATTAGAACCTACAAATACACAATATTGCTCTTGCTGTACAGAGAATAATTATACTTTGGATGTTTGATTGGGAAATATGTTATGTTACAAATCATGAGATATCTCGACTATCGTTTTGATACTACAATGTACATACATGCATATACATTGCAACTAAAAATGTGTTACAATGGTAGCATAGAATTACACAAATGACAATACCGATGTTGATCTTATTGAACATTTACCTAACCAATACTCGTGGTTAACGTCACCAAAGCCGTCTCTATATTCGTCCCATCCTCTATAAAAGTCGGTGGTGCCGTCTATACGTCTCTGAAACACCTGTTCAATGTCACGATGTATGAATATATTGTGGCTGTGATGTTTTCGTGGTAAACGTAATGTCAATCAATTGACCTGCAGTTCGTAATTTAACGCGATGACAACCATGGTATCCAGGGCGTTTAGACATTACAGGCAATTGGCGATTTCTATTGAGCCGATATTTGTTTCTTTGTAAGAGTGATAAACACGTTAAAACGTCACATATTTATCATCTTTCAGATCACCCAACATTAAAAATAGGTTGGAGTTTGTAAACACTCATTTTCACTTTTACCTGATCATTATGTTTTGTTGAAGGACAGTTTTAACGATGTCTGCTAAATTTACTATCTTTAAAAGAAATAGAATGTTTATACAAGGAATGAAATTGATCAGAACGATGGCCGACACACCTTTATATTGCTTGTGTACCAGTAGCTTACGCTTACTCTAAACTCTGAGATTGTGGTTTTGTATTATTTATGTGTAAAGGAAAAGAATATGTCAACAAATGTACCTAAAACAAAATTTATGAAAATACACGTAACGTGAGGCGTCAATATCGGTATATTTTCGGCAAACTACATATACGTACCGTCCAACCGCCACCATCTGTCTCCATGTCACACCAAACCGAGGTCGTGCTCGTTCCTGTCACAGATATATTATACACTCCACTCTGTGTCCATCCTGTTTCCAACAACGCTAGACAGTCTCTCTGGAGTTCTGTGTGTTAATAAACAGCATTGATGACAAATTAGAGTACGTCACTCCAAACATTCGTTTCAAATACGAAACAAGAAGACAGCTCATTTGAACATCCAGCATATATACGGTCGCCCTTACCAATTGAACCACTTGGTAGGCGGGAGCACTGTTTTACCCACTAGAGGTTTAAAAGCGAAATCAAGATTAGCATACCGCTTGTAAAAAAATATACAGCGAAATAATATTATGCTTTGCCTGCTGTGGGACAGAGATCTTTTAAGCGAAATGTTTTTGAAATTGAAGTGCAAAAGTTACCTGATATCGACAGGTTCTTTAACAGAGAATATGTTTCCTGTATTTCGGCAGCTATGTACGTGCATTTGTGCTCCCGTGACTAACAAAAGACACTGTCAATTCACATTTGTAACCTGGGAACTATATATCTCAATCCTGAGAGAGATTTTAATGAATGCCGTAACAAACTATATAAACCCCGTCACATGCTTTAAAAATCATGAATTCCGTCACATACTCTATAACCATGAATCCCTTTACATACGATATAGGAATAAACTCTTGCATATGCTATATAACCATGGATCCTGTCACATAATATTAAAAAGTTAATAATGTCAATTACTTCATATCTGAAAATAGCTCATTATATAATGAGCATTTTGTCTGTGATTTGGTTTTCTTACAGTTAATAACCCCCTGCATGTTTAAATTCAGATCGGCAACAAAGGTGGTGAATTAACCGGCATTGTGATATATCTGAACTTTTTTCTGGACAAAAGGAAATGTCAGCGTGTAACTTTTCTGTCGCGAAAGTTGATTGCCACAGCCATAAACACATCAAAAGTACCTGTTTAAATGTCTGATCGCCAATAATAATACATTGAATCCTTGTTTGTTTTTCTCATACACATTCATGACAATAAGCATGTTAATTTCGCGACCTTATTTAATTCGTGTCGTGACTGGTGATCACATAAAATCTATGAATGAGCGCTCTATCATTATCGTTAAAACCAAAGGCAAAACTAAACTTAATAGTTTTCTATATGTTGACAATGTCGTTAACATTTGAATGTTGTTTGGAAATTGTTTGGAAATTGTTTTAATATCTAACACTAATGATGAAATGTAGAAACGCTTTAATTTGCATTATTTTTTCTATTTTGTTTAAACTGACAAATATGGCGACAACTAACTTCCTGTTCACAAGAGAATGTCTCAGTTTAGAAACACATATTAGTCAATATATTACATGTCAGTCAGTCTTGTTATATAGTCTTATTACTTGTCAGTCTATTATATAGTCAGTCTATTACATGGCAATCAGTCTTATCATAAAGTCTTATTATATAGTCTTATCATTAGTCAATCTATTGCATGTCAATCTTTCTTAATATATCGTCTTATCAAATATACTTATTATTAGGCACTTTATTATGTAGCCAGTCAATTACATGCCAATCAGACATATTATATAGTTTTATTGTTAGTCAATCTATTACATATCAGTCAGTCTTATTATAAAGTCTTATTATTAGTCAGTCTATTACATGCTTATCTTAATTTAAATGTGCATGTTTCGTACGGTTTCAGTATATTCCCCAAGTTGGGTTCGTTCTCTTCGATCTGTCAAACTCTCGCCATACGCGTTACAATCCATATTCAGCTAATGTTAAATCTGCCCTTCGCATTGTTTTACAATATGGGTTATGTCGTTAGCTAATGTTTGATGTAATAATAGATATGCCTTGTTTGAAGAGGACGAAAAGGCGAGAATTAATCTGCATCGGCACCTACAAAGAACCTAAAAAGGAGTTACTGCAATGATACAATTTTTGTCATCATAAAATAACTAAAATATGATCAAGTTATGTGTTCATATTTTCAGTTTGTTATCTTCGTTAAATATTAATTTTTCGTTCATCTCTTTTACAAAAATGTTTCAAAGGGATAGTCATTTCAAAATTGTCAGAGCTGTATTTATTTTCAACCTGCGTTCTGAAAAGCTGGGAAACGCTATAGCATGCCAAACGTGCTTTGTAAACTAACACACATGCTCAGGCGGCCAACTTGTTTTGTAATATCATAAAAAAATAGTGTGATGACACTGTTATCATAAGGCATGTTTTAAACATTTGCTTCTTATAAAGATATTTATTTATCGTTCATAAATCATAATCTGGAAATTCTGCAACTAAGAACCAACAACGGTCTCCCAACAACAACTGTTATGGCCTGTGCTGTAGAATGTGCCAGTATTGGATATCCTGTGATACATAGTATTAAAACAATATATGTTTAAGATATCGCCGAATCATTTGAACAACAGAACACGCGGGACTAACTAGAACTAGAAGACTAACCTCATGCATATCCTTTTTACATGTTGTCCATATTAGCGTTTTATCATGTGCATTATAATTATCATCTAGTTGATTTCTACTTTAAAGCTGACGATCATAAGCATATAAAAGGTTTTTTTCTTCTGGTCCCCTAACCCAATGCCATTTGAAAACCCTCAATACCAAAGTATGTTCATGCCTTTACGAGATGTTGGCCGCTAGTCACAACGCTGTATCATTGTGGTAACCACTGGTTTTCTCCAATGTATTCCACAATTCCACCTGTAACTTAATTGACTCCGACTGACCCTGACACGTCATTAAATTACGTCATTTGCAAAAAGCGTGATCCCGAAAGGTCAGTGAAATTCCGCCTCACCAAACACCAATTCACGGCAGAGAGACCCATAATTTGAAAAAAACGTACAAAACATCTTAACATCGCCGGCCGGATGAGTGTTTTCAGCTTATTTTAATCATAATAGGGATCGTCTCACTCTATTTGAGATTAAATACTGTCGATTTGATTAAATACTATCGTAAATATCTGTAAGTTAATGGGCTGTCAATTAGGTACATTAGTACATTTGAAGTCCAATCTTATGATTTGGGTAACACCATGCGTTGATTGACCGGGGAATGTGAGATTGTAGATAGTGCTATAGGGATATCCATCTAGTTGCGACCAGGTCAGTCAATGATCTGAAACGAGATTGAGAACTCACCAAAACGACAGGGTAACTGTCACTGTCATTGCCACATTGTACATCTAGCATCAATGTTTTGGAGGGGGAAAGTTAGCTTAGATGTTAGATTCGAAGTAAGATTAAATTGCTGCCCGTTCCTCATAACTTATGTACAAAAGGTGGTACTTACTCATGAATAGTTAATTTTGTATAGATTGTTAAAAGTACTTGGATGAGAATTTCATATGTAGTCTGGGAGTCTAGAGTGGGAGTATAGAGTGAGGGACTCGAACGGTTGCTGCAACTGCAGCAAGTATGTTATAGTGGTATTAAACACAGACCTGTATATTCATGCTCTGTGTTACATATTATGTATTTCAAAATGAAATGTTATTCTGCTGTAACCAGAGTTGAGTTTTGGGATTCTCAGTACTTTGCTTTTCATGTCATTTTTATTTATGGAACTCTTCAGAGTGAAGATGCGTTTTCTCTAAAAATGGAAAGGAAATAGTGGAACACGCCGTGTTGCAGTTTGGCCTAATGATCATGATGTTACCCTGGACAAGCCAAAATGCATGCTTATAAGACATTTCATTTGTAATAATGACTAATAGCTATCTCCAAAGCTAATATAGAAGTTGCAAGGTAACTGTATTCAGTCTATAACTCGTAGAAAGCAGGTTCTGATAATTGTGTTTATGTTGTCAGTCTTCACTGACGGACTGACGGGCTGCTCGTTAAAATAGATCTGCTGTCTGAGAAACATCGACTTATTGATATATCGTCTCCTGTGATTACAGTATAGGTGTATTCGTAAGGAAATACCAATAGTGTAACTAACTAATTATTACACTTACAGGGAGGTACATATAAGTCGTGCAGGAATACTTATCTGTACAAATCTCGGGGATTTTATTTCATGAATAGACCGTCAACAACCGTCACATATGACATATTATATGAGTATCAGAACAAAGTTTTGTATGTGATTTGAATTTACGATAACTTATCCTAGATAATAACTCGAACATATTTAATCTCATAAACTTACAGAATTATTAATAATTGTTTAAATACTTGTGGGTTGACACGGTTGTAAATTGCAGCTCCGAGGCTCCTCTGCCATATGTGAATGCGCACAGTTCTGGATACAGTAGCGGTATTGTATACCCCCTCCACATTCAAGCGAACACTGCGACCAATCGGAGTACACTGCAATGAAAATTGTCGATCAATTATTTAAGTACATAGCAACATACCTAAGTGGGTTAATTCTGATATTTTTTAAGATGTGGCTCCGTTCAAAAAGAGTTCAACACCAATGAACCTTTAAAAAAATATTCATATTTGGTATTTTGGACTAACTAATTAATGACAAATTAGAAAGGTATACTCCGATAAAGTAGGACTATTCGTGAATAACAATTGCTAGTTATAAGGGATACAACTCTTACACAGATCAAAGACATATTTAGTAAGGTGACACAACAGCGATATTTATAGCATGAATCGCAGGTGTAAAGAGTCCAGTAAGAACACATCTTTAAGGCGGATAACCTAAAAAGAAAATTGCAAGGAAGAAGATAAACAGACGTTATTAGAGTGAATTTTAAAAAGCTTACTGATCTGTACAACACATATATCCTGGTTTTGTATTGCGACTACCATTTACATACAGCAAACTTTATTTAAAAGGCTAATAATAGGGTTTCTTTATAATGGATGGTAAAGAAAAGAAATACATATTGATCCTTTTAAGTTTCAAATAAGCAATGCAGTTGTTTTTTATGAAGGATGGTAAATACAAATATTTAGAGAGCAACTCTAGAGGGAGCTCGATAATAAAGATTTAGACTATATCAACAAAGGGAAAGTTCTACACGTACAAGTGAAGAATTCTCTTCTTACTACAAGTAACACGACATGAGAGAGATGTTTATGTCTTGTACTCCTCTTTTGTGCACCAGATCTTTCTGACTGATGTTTCCCAAGCCGTGCTATATTGTGTAAAAGATGCCGTCTTCTGTTCTATTTTATGACAGATTTGATTACCTAAAGGTCACTGACGCTAACGATGTTGCATCCTTTTGTAACGAACTGTGCAGCCCAACGGTTGATCTTATCTCTGCAACGCAAAACTAACGTACTCGAGTTCTGGAGAGAGATATAGTGGGTTATCAGCACTATCAGCTTAACATGAAAATCCTCCTGTTTCGATAATGACAGCAGGTAATTTCATAATTATGTATTTTGACGCAAAGTAGGAGAACGTCTGCAAGCTAGCACACATCAGAGAAGGCTAGATGATCTTTATTAATATAAATTACTTTTTGTTGTGGACAAAGTAAGCCGTAAATACTAATATGTAAACAGTCATCGTCACCAGGAGATGAGGTCATTGTGAAGCAGCAATTGTCCCTCCACACAGGACCTCTAAGAGAAATATCGCTGCTTATGTCCTGGAATTTATTTTATTTACTATAGTGACAGTGAAAACCATACATCCGGAGTAAATGAAAACAATGCAGAATCTCTAACAGCAAAGGTAAATGCATATTTCATAGTTACAGTGAAACACCGGTCAACTTCCGACTCAGACATTTTAGCAGTGTTACTCGGCCGTTATCCAAAATGTAAACAACTTAAACCTTTTGGTGTTTGAGCAACTTTGTAAACAAACTCTGAGAAACCTACTTCCAGTGTGCGAGACAGCTCTACAATGGTAAGCCAGCAAATATCATAAAATATCGGGGAACGAAAATGTCATTCATATCGATATATTAAGGGCAATGCTATTACCTGGATAAGAATACAAACTATATAATAGAAATGGCATAAAGTCTCTTGTTTCTGGGACCTGCCAAGACAGAATTGGAACCCGAAAACTGGATTCAGCAATTTCAAGCACTCCAGTAATATGCCCAGAGAACTACGTGGCCCTTGGCCTCTTGTTTTTATCGTCTACGGTGATGGTATAGGTTTAACGGTTCCTATAAGATATACTATACTTACCGATGGGCAACATCGAACAACAATCGGCACAGTTTGAGCAATCTGCAGAGAAAACGAGTATAGTAATCTTAGTGTTGCAAATCAAACGAACATTTAATAATATTACATATAAGCTTGTACAGTATCTATCTATATAAAAGAATACACATTTGATGCAAACTATACCAAATTATCGTTCCCTACAATGTTAAACTTGTATACATGTACATTTATGTATATCTATATCTAAAACGTTGTGGCAATCATGCTTTTATCTATTATCTTTCGTTTGCATATGTCTGTGTGAAATTGAGTGCTGCACATTCACTTACAAAATTATATTTGTAACTATGGTAGGTTTGTGTCTTCCTACCTTTATCCACTTAGGTTTGATCTAGACTTACATGTAAGCTCTTTGAACGTTTTAAAAGGATCACATGCAAAGGTTTCATTAGTTCATATTAAGATTTAGTTTTATCAATGTTGGGTTAAAATTACAGTTTTGTTAATGATTTAGCATTCCATGGGATACCTGTTGGATGTTTTTAAACGCTTGACCTGTAACATGCTACAGTTTGACGGAAGTTCCTCTTTTTATTTTTTCATTAGAAAATATTATGTATTTAGTTTACATCAGTCAGGTATTTTCTCCAGTTGATGAACGATTGTAAATTGGAGTCAGATAATAGAGATTGAATTCTCACCAATGTCCTGGTGATGATGGTGATGCACATTACAGCAGTAGTTCAAACAGGTATGATCATCACAGTTACCCTGACCCTTAATCACCATGGTAACAGCTGATATCAACAGCAAGGCAACCGACAGCAGCATTTTAACTTGGGTTGATATGTAACTTATGGAAGCAACTGAAGAAAACAAATCTTAATTTCGTCTGAAAAAAAGATTAAGTATTGTGGTACAACATAAAAAGACATGTATATTGTTATCGGAAAAGCATTGTGAACGACATGCGGTTGCTGGACGGAACTAAACTAACTGAGTTGTCTGGAGGGACTTGTTACTTGTAAACATATACACTTGTATATCATCTGTCTTTCTCTATATGTTCTCCTCAAAAGGTGCTCTATCTCTAGTATGGCAAAAGTCTAAGGTTTTGATAGAATTTACAAACAAAAGTGCTCGCGTACAATTGTACCACCGATAACGGTTAAATGTCTAAATCTGCCGTTTTTTCTGTCCTTGTACTGTTTAGTTATATTTCCTACATTATTTCGATTATGAACTTATCATTGGCATTTTATATACGGGCGTTAGGTGAATGATTTGGTAAAGTTTATAGGCATTGCTTTCTAATTCTGACTGGGTCTTCAACACTGACATATAGTTTGCTTTTGAAGCTGCAGATTACGAAAATGTTAGAAAAAAACAGAACCGATGGTGGTATGCAACAGATACGTATACTTGTAGCCGATACAGATATGAATGTTTGATATTTGAACAATTTTGGAAAACATGCGGGTCATCTTCAGGATAAAGGTAAAGATGGAACATAAGGTGTACAAGTATAAACGAAATAAGAATGAATTTATTATAGGAGAAACAGAAAGACGTTGATGATTGGTCGGCACTCTCTAGAAAAAAAAAGATTACTTAAGTAAGTAGTCGGTATCACTAGAACCACGAATGTGTTATTTTCTGTCATCTTCATCTGTAAACGAAGGGATGTGATTCAACAAACATGTCATTTAAATAAACCAGTTATATGAGAGAAAAAATACAAGCATTGAAAAATAGTTTTTTGACAGAGTGAAACTAGAATTGATTCATATGATGGATGTAAATAAGTGTGTTGAGCTTACCGCCGTACTGCTGGTTCCTTCTATGTCACTTATGTTCACACTCTGGTCTTTCAAGCGGTCTACTATCGTCACTGTGACCTAAAGGGTCAGTTTGACGAGACAACTTCTTGTAAAGACATCCGATCCGTATTTTCGTACTCTGGTTTTTTCAGCAGTCTACTATCGTCAGTGTGACCTAAAGGGTCGGTTTGATAAGATATCTCCCTGTAAAGACATCCGGTCCGTATGTTCGCATTATGGTTTTTTTTGCAGCGGTCTACTATCGTCACTGTGTCCTCAAGTGTCAGTTTAATAAAATAACTCATTGTTAAGACATCCGTTCCCCATGTAGAAGACCCCAGATACGGCAGTTATGATATAAACAGTATAAAGGAGCACACGCTGCTTGTTGTTGTTCTTACGATGGTCATGTTCAAACATGAAAACATCATAGCACACTAGTAACAAGGGGAGGTGCCTTAGAACCCCCGTATAATAATAGACATTTGTTTGTACGGCTACAATCATGGAATTATATTTATATTATATATTAATTAATTTATTATTAATTATATATCTAAGTCCGTGCTACAATAGATCATATATTTCTCACTTGACTTTGGTGTACAGCATTACAGGACAAATGCCAGCTATACGGCTACAGCCTACCGAAGGGATTTATACTCACCAGCAGCGTAAGTGGGGAGTCGGGTTGCGAGGTTCGAGAATGTGAGCAACTGAAGAGAGAGCTCGGACAGGGAAGGCCTCTCCCAAAGGGGCCGGGGATGGCCCGGGTAGATAAACAGTTATCCCCTAATTATGCACGCATTTTAGATTTATATGGCATAAATGGAAACAAATGTAAGTACTCTTACATGTAAATGGTTCATAGAAGAATTTTGAAGCTTTTTATCGATTTTTGACACGTCACAACCGTCCCCAACCCACACACACACTAACCAACCCACACCACTGATAACAAGTACATCAATATACGTCATATATGTAAAAAAAAAAAAACTAACACTAAGTGATTTACATAACGTCATGTTCCAGATCAGATATATGATAGTTTGTTCGTTCTTCTGTGACCAATGTGGCTTTTTGTACATGTAAATATCCTGTTTATTATATGTTTACACTGAAATTAATAAAGATCTTGAACTTGTTACCACAGTAATTAATTATCACGCGAGTCTGTTTCAAGGATAATTATTTATTACAGGATTCTGTTACCACAGTCATTAGTTTCCACATGAGTCTGCTACCACGGTAATTAATTAATTAAGTCTGCTATCATTGTTATTAGTTTTCAGACGAATCTGTTTCCATGGTAATAGGTTATCACAGGAGTCTGTTTTCACGGTAATTCTTTATCACACAAGTCTGTTACAAAGATTATTAGTTATCACATAGGTCCGTTACAAAGATAATTAGTTACTACAGGAGTCTGTTACCACAGTAATTAGTTAGCACATGAGTCTGTTACCACAGTAATTAGTTATCACATGAGTCTGTTACCACAGTATTTAATTAGTTACCGCATGAGTCTGTTACCACAGTAATTAGTTATCACATGAGTCTGTTACCACAGTATTTAGTTTTCACAAATGTCTGTCACCACGGTAATTATTTATCACATGAGTCTGTTACAAAGATAATTAGTTATTGCAGGAGTCTGTTACCACAGTTATAAGTTATCACAATATTTCGATTTTGTTGTCAATAAACATTATGCATATGCTGCAACACTTCAAATTTGGATAATAAAGTGACAAGATGTCCAAACTTATTTATCTGTTCTGATTTCAACAACAAATTCAAGAAACGTACAACGTGCAATTCGTGGAAGATACGCTTTATCTGTTTATGATATAAAGTCGGTTTTATGTATTAAGCTTATCAGTGTGTCTTGTTTTCGGTTTTACAGAACGGTTTTCACTTTGATTACGTGACAATCATACCATTTATAGATTTACATGTTTCTTAACATTCTGGAAGACCTGGTCTAGTTCCCTTTGTAATATTTATAAGTGTCTACAGCTCGAAAACCTAGGTTTTGAATGCTGTGAACAAAAGGTGGCGCCTTGTTTGGTCAATGATAGAAAATATACTTCATACCGTAACAGGTTTCACTTTTAATTATCTGCAAAGGGGGGGGGGGGGATTCAGTTTTATCAAAACGATATATAATATTATTTTTTCTTATTTACTAGTGATATCTGAGGATCTGCAATAATGTTAATGAACATATTTGTACTATTTCGGTCATATCTTTGTTACCAATTTGTTTGGTATATTTAATTGGCATTATGGTAAGTATGTGGTTTGTTTTATTATAGAATTATTTTACACGTATGATACAATTTGTGTTAATGTTGAAAATGTTTGTCATTTTTTATTATTTCTATGATACTTGTCAACCTGATTATTCATTGAAAAAAAGTTTTTAGTGTTGCATAATTCGGTCTTGCGCACCCATTAGCAACTTGTCAATGCCTACTAGGTATGCCTAATATACACGTGACGTTTGTGATCCCGTACGTTAATCCGCAAACAAGGACCCATCATAACGAGAATTTGACGTCACACTCGGATGTGAAATAAATAATTTTTTGAATACAGTTAAAGAAAGGGGGAGTCTCGTTTACAACGAAGCTTATCTTCGAGACTTTGGTCCATGTTTGAAATATTTTAAACAACAATAAAACTGCACCCCATTGAAGGGCAGGGATCCTGTACTTCAAGGTAAATATCAATCATATTACTAGTTTTCTTTAGCTTAAATAGTTTTTTAACACACCATGCCAAGTAAAGAAAAGGGGCCGATTTTCTTGTTATATTTTATGCTGTATTTTTTAGATCAGTAAAATATTTTCTGTTATAGCTCTTAATACTTTCCTGTTTACAATATTTCTAACAGTTGTCACTTTACTACCGACACAAAAATTACTACCAATTCTTTGGAACTAAAACACAACATCAATGTTAAGAAAGTTACCTCTGAATAGATTATACAACTTCTAACAAATTCACTCATCAATCCAATCGGATCGTACTCGAACAAGGACGAATAAGGAGACAATGTCCTTGGATTGGATGATACGGCAGCGCCTTGCATGAAAACAGTATTTACATTATATCGCACACTGTACGACGCTATTTGTTGAAGCAACAACACATCAGTATCCGCTAGTTGTAAATCTTTGAGACGCTATATTCACATGAACAGAGTACCACCTATAAGTAGTAATCAACTAAATGTTATGGCATGCCTATCTAGATTTATAGCGTAATATAAACTAGAATCAATACTTGACATTAACGAATCAATGATTGACATAAAGTGTATAAAACAATGAATCCATTAATGATTCATACACTTTCTGGTAGATCACAGTTGTACCCCGCCAACTATAACTAGTAAACGTAAGTTGCCACTTGTTGATAAAGGTTGTTTGTATGAAGAGAATCATTCTTAATGGTACGTCACTATCTCCTTGAAGATGTTACTGTTAGGTAAAGTGGTTAGGCCCCGTTATTACTAAAGAAAATTAAAAGACTCTGAGCCTGAATCAGTTGCATTCAATATAACTTCTAACAGATGCAAACATAGTTTTTAGACAATTAACAAGCTTATATAACTTACATTTAAATTAACTCTTTACTGGGAATGGCATAGCCAAAAGGAGTTTATTGCCGACTCTCCACATAAAATACATAGTTTATCACAGATATTGTGGTTAACCGGCTTGTGTTCCCCTAACATTTAGAAATGCACGGGGAAAGGACTTTTGTTGAAAGAATTATAGTTTTACAGTTTTAATTTGCGTTATTGTTTGGAACGGAATAAATCTTGAAAACTAAAATAAATGTGTTTTATATCTTGTAGTTATCAAAGTACTTATATTATCTTTAATCAAATATCAACATAAACATCAACAATGTATCTCAGAATGCTGATCTAAAGTTCCTCGATGAGGAGTGACGCAATTTGCTTGTCACCTGAACCCAGTAAATAGCTCCAAACTAATTTCAGCTCTTTTTTTATCGATATTTGTGTTTACAACCTACAGAACATTAATGTTTACAGTCTTATTGCTGGTAAGATTGTTTATTATGACTAAATTTGTATCAGAATATCCCCACATTGACCGTGGCGGAGTTTATATCCCCACATTGACCGTGGCGGAGTTTATATCACCACATTGACCGTGGCGGTGTTTATATCACCACATTGACCGGGGCGGAGTTTATATCACCACATTGACCGGGGCGGAGTTTCACGTTTTATTTTAAGTCAGCGATAAGATTTCGGAGCCGGTGTCTTTTCTTTAATTATGTGATAAAATATGAAGCGAGAATGGTTTGTGCTTGATTTTAGACTACTTTTGTAGCCTTAAGCACAATGTAAATTTACGCGTTCACGACGTAGTGGTCCCTTACCACAAAGACGTCACATTGTTGTAACCAAGTGGTATCATCATCTTATATGACATATGGCTACCTAGGCCATGACTGTTTAAAAGACATTCTTACAAATTTTGTTTGCAAAGCCAAAAGTTTGATCTTATAATTCTTTTTTTTCCCACGCTCATTTCTAGCCAACACAAAATGATAATTCATTGTATTTATTGAACAGATAAATAACATATATGTCCTCCACGTATCGTATTTCGTGCTAAAACCTTAGTTAGATTAATGTGTTGTTACACCACAAACAAACCCTTTTTCCTGCAAGAAAATCACATTGTCTTATGATATATACAACATCAAATAGCTTCTTCACAGAGAATAACCGCAGATTACATCAGCTGTAAGACTTTTAGAGTATGTGTGTATCGTGTTCTATAATTTATATTTATTTCCTTGTCACATATTTTCCTTTTGTTCTCACTTGCTATTTAGAGTCAGATGTAGTCAAAACGTATCTGAAGTAAATCTGTTTTGCTATGTTGATGGCCGTATGTTCAGGATCATAACAGTTGAAAAACATATAGTTAACTTTCTAGGTAAGTTTTACTTCATAACTGTCACATGCTTGAGCGTTAATTGCTTAAACACTTTGTATTAGATATAATTATAGTCAGCTACTAGGTACACGTAAACAGTATTATGCATTTCATTGCATCACATTGTATACTTTATATTTTGTATTCTTTTCAACTGCGAACAGTTATCAAAACATTAAAATATCTGTAAAGATTTTCATCAATAACTCATTAATGGTCATGTATGTCGATATATTAGCTCCTGCTCATTTACTGAAACGAAGCAATCATGTCAATTTTCAATATGATTGTTTATCGAAATGTTTGTTTTTGAATATTTATTTACGATAGTGGAATTGCCTCACGAATAATAATTAATATTTATTTTTAAATATCTAATGATTTTTTTTTAAATTTGTTCTTTTGCACTTATTTGTGCGATTTTAAATCTATTGAAAATAGATATTTGCGACAATTTGAGTTTTGACAATTATTAAGTGATACTGATCTTCCTTTTTTTAATTTTGCAGGTCACGTTCTGCAAACTCAGTGTTTATATGTTGTTTCTGAACATCAGGATGATTGGTTTTCGTATGAGGACTGAACCCTCCCTGACTGTATTCTTCTGGTCTCCTGATAGCCCCGATAAACTGCTGGATACGACCACTTCTGTGTCAAACAACTCTTTTAAAAGATATATTTTAATATATAAACAAATATATATAAATTTATAATACCTGATAGAACAATTTAAATTCAACACGATACACACGTCACGCTGGTGTGGGCAATATGGAGAAGGTGGAGCAGAGGGAGCATTAACCACCGAAAGTAGTTTGTATTTAATTGAGAATAATTGTAATTTTATGATTCGTATAGTTAGGAATTTGATGATTGTTTTGTGATAATGATTGATTATAATATAATTAGAACTACTATCTTATTTCCATTTATATAATTATATGTTATCATTTTGTATGTGTGTACTATTAATTTGAGTTAACATGGCTTGATAGTGGTGTTAATGATGTGGTTTGTTGTTTAATTGTTTGATGGGGTTGTTAATGGTTTAATGTTTGAGAGGCGGAGAAATATTTTCAGAGGAGGGGGGGATATGACCAGGGAGCTGTAATAGTTTGAATGATGGAGAATGTATTGAGTTGAAAGTGTTAGATTGGAAAAGAATATTAATAACGTTATGGTTATGAGAGAAAAAAATCCACAGGTCGGATTTAGTGTACAGGGTAGTCATAGTCCGACATCTTTTGTTACATAATTATTAAGTTGTTGTATTGAGTGAATGTAAATATTGATTACGCTCACACTGACAGCTAGCTTAGAAATTCAAAATGTAATACAAATTTTCAACAATCCGTCCTTTTCTTTCTGATAATTGTATTGATGTTTGTATGATAATTAATGAGTGTGTGTATATCTTTATATATGTTTGTGTTATGTCATGTTATGTATATATATTGTAACTGTATTGTATACTAATGTAAAAAATTGAAAAAAAAAAAAAAAAAAAATATTAAGAGATGTATAAGTATTACCAATATCCGTACATGCTTGTCCAGGAACAGGAGTCCAAGAATATTACAAAGTATGAGTTAAATGTTATATCGACATAAGAGTCTTTAAAATAAAATAAAAACGAAATTGTTAACCGAAGTTACCTTTATTCACTTCATTCTAATGAACACCTCAATTAAGATAACACATTCTGTAAATACTTGTTCTGTAACCTCTTATCGATGTATATTTACAATTTATTGTTTTAATGGCGTAACACTTACCACATCTTAAGAAATTACAAAATATATTACTGATGTTTATTAGGTACAAACACTAACGTCCACTTTTAAATATTATACAACCATTTATTATATTGAGGATATGGGTGCTATCGCCACAATATGGCTATCTGTTTTGAAACTTCGCAATATGATTATTTTGACCAAGGATTTAGATTTGAATCAATTTTTAATTTTTAATTGATGCATGAAATATTCTTCAATTGTTTGTATTACTTAACAATCATGAAGCTAAGGAGTTAAAAATAGAAAACAAATCAGTGGCATGTTTTCGCCAAAATTACTTCTTTCCCTGTTTTTCAGTTGAATTAGAAATAATAAAATAAAAAGTGTCTTCTTAAATGAAACCAATGATAACATTTGCAAGCATACATTTACTATATGTATATATATTACATGTTCTGTTAAAATAATGTTGCCAGGTTCAATTCAGTTTCACTGTCACTCTATGAAGCAAATGTGAGAATGGCAAATGATTTTTTCATACAATATCGTTGAACAATATTTTGGTATTGAAATAATGTGTTTATTTGGACGGTTATTTCCGCTATAGCAGTTTAAATACAGTAAATTAATCTTCAATAAAGACATGTTGAATTTATTCATTAGAAAATGATGTAACTATTAAAATCGCTTTGTAAGTGTAAAGGAAAATATTAAAATGATGTAATTTGTCGGTTCTTACATAATACAACAAACCTTTTACATATGTAAGATAAGCCAACAAAGATAAGAATTATTTTAACAGTACATTCAAAATAAATATTCGTTAAATTAACAAAACCATACATAATTTCAAGATTTTACTTTATGAGGATTGACGTGACTATTTTTCAAACATACATCATTAATATAATTATAATGTCAAAATCACCAAATGGAACGCGTGACAGATTAGGAGTTTGTTGAGCATTACATGTCTATATGGACAGGTATGTTAACGTTAAGTGTTGCCATCTCAGAGTTACCTCCCTTCGTTCGTATTTAAAATTGTCCAATGCGTTTCTGACTTCCTCTATCTTGTATTAGGTCAGATATTGAGCGATTAATAGTATTATTTCGAAACATTTATATTTGATAAACAAAGACTAATGTATCTTCTTTATAACACAATCATTAACAGCTATGATATTGAAACAATATTCACACACGCTCATTTTATCGGAATTGAAATAACGCTTATGTTAAATGATGTCTATGGAGTCATCAAACGATCCGAAATAAATGTGTAATTGGCTACAAAAAGAGTAATGCTCTCTTCTAATAATAATTACAACTTCTCTCTCTGGAGTTATTCCATAACATACACATTCTTTAAACAATTGATTAGTAGCCATCCATCACTTACTTGTAACTTATTTACGCTTAAGCAACGTGACTTCATTTTCCTTTGGAGAACTTTTACGCCATCAGTTTCAGTATGACTAATCAAACTTTCACGTTTACTGCACGACCCGTGACTGTGAAGTTCGGATTCGCATACTACGGTTGACCAGAAGAATATTCTTGTTTCAAACCAGCTTTCCTTACGTAGGGAGTTGGGTACAAATAATAAATATACATAGTTATGTTCAGAGAAATACATAGATTTTCATCTGTCTTCAGTAAAAGACAAAAGAAGAAAACGTTGTGGAATAGTGGGTTTTCATTACGGCAATGATTTCTGATGAAGTTTTGAAATAAATAACCAGTTATGCGCACCAAAATCATGATATGAAAATAAGTATTAATAATATTGAAGAAAAATCAAAATTATTAAAAACATATCAACAACATGAGCAAGATACACACTTTATGAAATGAGTGACAGCTCCTAAGGCAAATATATTTATGTTTAACCATTACAAAACACCAAAAATAACAATGCATGATACTTGGGCGGAAATCCATAAAAGTTGAAAATAAAATGTCAGTAACCGTTAATTTAATCGTGATATCTGCATTGTTTTTGACCATTCGGAGTCACGTCGCATGTGTGTTGTAAACGTCGCTTTCATGCTGATACCGTTGGTATCACGTCTCTGTTTCCCTTTCCGTAGAAGCCTGTGGTTGAAGAAGAGGAACACCATTGGGTTAGCCACGCTGTTCAGCGGAGCAAGCGCCATCAGGATGAAAAAGGACCCATTCAAGTCGACCTCGTTATACACGACCAAAATGGTGTAGATCGTGAAAGGTCCCCAGCAAATCAGAAAGACTAAAACATAAAAAAATCATACACTCAAGCATTAGGAACACACATTGGTGGGATATTTTCAGGCTTCAATTGATTGCTAGCAAGTAATGTTTTCTTTATAAAAAGCATATATCATCAACCTTTTACTTATCTCCTCTGATAAATGAAAAATATTAACGCACCGGGAGAAATACTCACACAAGTTGCGCTCAAGACGGTAACAATACCTGAGTATGATATGTTCCACATAGGTACCGTGTAACAATGAATCGATCCATGACATTGATGTCATTCAGCCTCATAACATGATATATGTTGTGGTGTCAGAATTCGACAATATCTCTGATAACTAGAGCTATAAAAGTATTGTCATGCTTAAGACTGTTATAGAGTCCATTTGTACTTCTAATCAGCACCATTAGTCTGACGACACCACTAATTAGTACATAGAAATAGCCCTTTGATTCAGGAAGCGAATGTACAGCCATCTCCGTCCAAGTTCGCGATATTTATTTCGTCGATTTATCTCCTTACCAGAAGTATACGTCCCCCCCTAATTTGCCATTTGTGGCCGCTAAATTGCCTGACTTTTGATCTAGAAACTTAACCATTGACATGACGTATTTATCATGTCAGACATGTACTCTCGTGAGACTCGAGAATGATGACACAGTAGCGAAACACTGATTTCATATTTTCACACTCTTCTTTAAGGTGGAAACATAACACACTAGCTGATTTGTACCCCGTGACCATACATAAGAATACGCACCAGTTATTTTATCAATAGGATCAGTGGAGTGCAGTGCTGTGATGCAGTTATCTAAACCAATGAAGTATTTAAACATCACAAGTAAGAAGCTGGATTGTGCTAGAAACACAAGTCCGCAATACGATTACATAAAGCAAAACGCAACTAACCGGTTTTTGCCTTATACTTACCATCTCATGTCATTGACACTATGCAAACCCTACCAAATTCAGTTGGCATTCATATAGGCTATGAATTCCAAACACCGATTGTTGACTTCATCATTTTTTTGACGTCATAATTGTTACGTTGGATACCACTGACCCTCCCTGGGCGATGGCTGTTCTATTCATTGAACAAGCAAACACGATACATACATTATTTGAACTAAATGCTGAATGATAATAAATGTAATCGAAATGTCTATGAGATAAACAGATTAAAAAAATGTGTTGGCGCTTCATTGAATTTGCCTTTTCCATTTGGAATTCATATTCCCAATCACTGCCAACTGAAAACAGCTAAATGCTTGATATTAGCTTATATAAGTGGGGTTTTTTTTGTGTTTAATGTCTTCCTTTTCTGATTTAAACCCGCAGATAACTCTCATCTTGTTTCTTATATATTATATGAAAATTTGAAGTTAGCTTGATATTTATCAATTGACAAACAGGATATAGGTAGTATTTGAAGATTCATACACTGAATCTACGAGGAAATAATATTGCAGGAATAGCTTATGAGTCCTTGTTACAATACAGTTTTGAAAGGTGAGGTCAACCTCAGTTGGAACGTAGCATTATCCTTAACCCCCTCTCAAAAGGCACAATAATTATTGGACAAAGTTGCTGTTTAGCGTCACATTTTGTTTAATTCACACTTATGATACTTGTGGGACGACCCGGTGTTTTTATCGACAAATAAAACAAACACATGTATTTAAAATAAGTGCCTGTGTAGAAGCCTGCCATTATATATATAAATTATAATCTGAATTCTATATCTGCCAGTTTTATTTTGTTAATTATACCGCCGGGTTATCTGTTTCTAAGAATGGAGTTATATTTTGCCCGCATCTTGTAATATTGGCTAATTGTAACTACAGTTATTGTTTATATATGTATATTTTTTCATTGGATGGCTGCAAATCATGATCTCATTGTGGATTACTCGATTTTGACACATATGTACGATAGTTACCGAGGTTTTTATCACATATGTACGATATTTACAGTGTACCGAGGTTTTGTCACATATGTACGATATTTTGAAAATTATCATTATTGTGCACTACTGTTTCGTTGTCACAACCTCGGTTTGAACGAGGATTTGCCATTCCTTGTATTTTACCTAAATTGTCAAAGTGAATGTCGTACATAAATCAGAAGACGCTATCTGTTCCTTTCTATTTACTTTTTTTAATGATATTCGATTATCTTTTTTTTACTGTTTCCAAGCTTAATCGATTTTGAGATTGTTAATACTTTGCTATACTTGCCATTTAATGATAAGATGACTTACGCAGGAAATATGCTATTAACAAAACGCTAATTGAAAGCTGCGGCAATCACTATCGGTTATACCAACACATAATGAAGTGACATCGGCTCAATAGTTCGTTATCTCTCATGACTTCTCTTTATCATTCATCAGTGCTCATCAGTGGCTGAACTCGAACGTACTACCATGACCCTGCAACCGTCTTATTATATACATGATCGTACACGTTTATTGTACCTTATCATTTTAGAAAACATCCTACACAAGGCTTATTGACAGAAAACATTTAACTGTACTTTCTCTTATTCACACGATTCATTATTTGGTTTTTGCTGACATGCTACACAACGCGGTTGTTGTTTTTTGTTGTTGTTTTTATTCATTCTTTTTTATAAACAACACATTTACACACAAAGCAACAAGCATGCATTACATTGATTACAATTCCCTTCACAACGGACACCTCTTTACAAGAGACCAATTATATACTGTACACACATACACATACACACACACAGAGGGGTGTGGGGATGGGGGTGGGATTGCAAACCTTTCTTTATAGTATAATGATAATTGTTCACGTTATTTTATAAGAGAAGCCATTTTTCCACTGTATTATGTAAGTCTATATTATTTTTGCAGTTTTTATGCTTATTTATCAAGATCTTATGAGATTTAAGTTAAAAAAGTATGTGATTCTTTAAACTCGTTATATTAAGTTCCATTTATAGACATTTCATTTTAAAAATGTATTGATTAATCAATAATAGGATAAGATTATCCACTATCAAATCAGCATCCTTAGAACTGAATTGTCCAAATATAAATTCCTGTTTGTCAAAATTCAAATCAAGCGTTTTGCTAGAATATTTATAATTGTCATAAAGGGTAGTTTTGGAAATGATTCCGTGAACAAGAATCATTGATCACTGCTTGAAGTATATCGTATCAAACAGTTCTTCAATTATTTGATTGAACACTGATAGGGACATATTTCGGGAATGCATTTTGTTTGAATATATCATAAATTCATCTTTAAAATTAATATGAATTGGCTTAAATCCCCTAATAGTTAAAAAACATTATACAGAGACCAACGGGGTTTATGAAGTGTGGGAGACATTCCGTTTAGTCAGACAATGATCAATCCCTCGAAAAGGCACTGTGCACCAATTACAGATTTACCCATCACTTTTAGCTAAAACATATTCACAGGATACACCATGACGTTTAAGGGACTCATTTTCTTCATAACGGTCATTCGGTTAAGTAATGGATATCGAACGTGCGTGGATCATCTGTTGTGTAATTATAAGAGGTAATTCACTACGTATTATAAGAAATAGAACACTCACTATACGTTCATATAATCTGAATGGTTAGAAACACCTTTTCAACGTTCCACGAAATATAATTATCTCTCGACACGATATCCAGGCCAATGGCCCTACGCCAACCCTAACCCTACGTATTATAGAATATCACAATGCTATCAATAATGTGTCTACGCCTACTTATCTATAAGTAAACCTGTGTCATTCGGTACACTAACGGTGTTTCCATTTGGACTGATATTTCAGAAATGTTTACATGATGTTATCTGATATTGTTAACTAGTTTAACTGCTTGGGTTTTAATTCTTTTGGACTTTTGTTGAACCTATGCGATTATATATAATAAATCATATGACATATATCAAAGCCCATATGATGAATGTTCATTTCAGTCAAGTTCGGCTTTTGTCATCGTTTCATTATATAAACCGCATAAAATATGTCTAATGTGGGTAGGTAGTCACTGATTGTTCTTACTCATTTATCTTATATGTCTTTGCACCAGAATCAATAAGTTTTAAAAGCATTTTTGTCTGAATTGTATAATTAATTTTCCCCTGCCTTCCTTTACCAGTACCATGGGATTGAAAACAAAATAACTTAAATCTCACCGTGCGAACGGATCTCGTTCGGAAGTCGATTTTTATGTACGAATAAATTACTTTTATAACTAAAAGTATTTTGAACACTGAAAGAGATTTATTTTCACTGAAACGTATGAAAATATATTTTTTGTTATTATTTAATTTAATAAATCTATTAATTGTTTAATTCTTATATTTATAGTCAAATTTATCTTCTGTAATAGAAGGCAAGATAGTTGGACAGTTATTGGTTTTTCGTTATTCGAATAACGAATAACTTTCCAACTTCACTTTTAGGGGGTCGAAGGTAAAGTTAGAAAGTTATTCGTTATTATATATTAAAAAGAAAAGAAAAAATGTTAAACGGATGCCGGTGCCAAACTTTTGAAAGGTTGCCTGTACAGAGTCCCCACAGACAGCACTCACACCGAATTTAATTAAGATTGAAATAGGCATTCACCCCGGGCCAGGACCAGGAACATAGCATTTAAACGAAATCTCAATTTCAACAATCTTCGAGTATAGGGTCCCAGGTTGATGGTGCTATGCAAATTACTACTCACGCTAAATCTTACGGATTATATCACTTGTTGGTGGGCGTGTGTTATGTCAATCGTTCTGTGTCGTTGTAGATCGTTGTTATTTAACAGGCAAAAAACAAGCAAAATACTGTCCACGTTCTAATAATTCCAATGCACTTGTACGCTAGTTTTTGTTTATTGTAGGCGACCATGACACATGTTTCAACCTTGTCGACTGCGTATACTTATGAACACGTCTATGAATTTCAAGATTTCAAGATTTTTGTTAATCCCCAATTTAGACCTTTAACCTAGATTACACTGTATCGCA